GTGCCCTGCCCAGAGCTGTCCATACAGTTCCTTTCACCTCTACCTCCTGCGAGCTGCTGCTGTTCCTGTATCGTTTCGCTCCCAACTCAAACATCGCTCAGAAAACCTTTCCCAGGACTGGGCTGTAACCCTCTCCTGTGCTTCTCGCTTTCTTTTTGTGTCAAGCCATGTTTCTTGGATTTTGGCTGTAACTATTTTGGGTCAGTGTGTCATCTCCTGCAATGCACCATACTGACTGATGAGGCTATATTTATATTAGCATGAAGCAGAGGTGGGGCTCTGCTCCCTTAAAAACAAACAAAAAAAACCCACTGGAGAGTTTTCATCACTTTAAAGACTGAGGTGGTTAGCTGGGCCGAGTCAGGCAGAAGGTAGGGAGCTAGCATCATTCATAACATCCAACAACGTAGATTGTTGCCTATGAAAGCTCTTGCCTCTCTGAACCAGTTAGTCTCTAAGGTGCCACCCTGCCCTACCTTCTGCCCTTATTACTTTAAATATATTCTTATATTTTGCCTTCTTAATATTAATTCTGACCACTTGTAGTAAGTTGAGAAACATTTCACTGCATGAAGATTGGCTCCACTGGGCATGGGTGGGGAAGGGCTACATATAGAATAAGATGCCCTGACTCTCAACGAGGAGGATCACATCTGCCTCTTGGAAGGCTCAGGTTTGTCAAGTGTCTTCTTGCATCAGACACCTGCGTGCTTATGTGCCATACAGTTGCTTAGGAGTGTCTCGCTACCACTTGCTAATTATTACTGCAATTACATGCAGGGTACAACCCGTCTGCAAATTTTTTTAGGGACATTGGAAATATCTGAGGTGGCATCAGACCGAGGGAACAGTTGACATGTGAGCGCTGAGGTTGGATGCACCCTCAGCAAGTTTGCAGATGACACCAAGCTGCGGGGAGTAGTAGATATGCTGGAGGGCAGGGCTAGGATTCGGAGAGACCTCGACAACTTGGAGGATCAGACTAAAAGAAATCGCATGAAGTTCAGTAAGGAGAAGCGCAAAGTCCTGCACTTAGGACAGAATAAGCCAGTGCACCAGTACAGGCTGGGGACCGACTGGCTAAGCAGCAGGTCTGCAGAGAGGGATCTGGGAGTAACAGTGGACAAGAAGCTGAACAGAAGCCGGCAGTGTGCCCTTGTTGCCAAGAAAGCTAATGACATCCTGGGCGGCACGGGTAGGAGCACTGCCGGCAGATGGAGGGAAGCGATTCCATTTGGCAATGGGGAGGCCACATCTCTATCCAGTTGTGGGCCCCCCCACTACAGAAAGGATGTGGACAAATTGGAGCGAGTCCAGCGGAGGGCAACGAAAATGGTTCAGGGGCTGAGGGAACTGGGCTTATTAGGTCAGCAGAAGAGAAGACCGAGGGGGATTGAATAGCAGCCTTCACCTCCCTGCAGGGGGGCTGCAAAGAGGATGGAGCTGGACTGGTCTCCAGTGGGGGCAGACGACAAGACAAGGAGCAATGGGCTCAAGCTGCAGCAAGGGAAGTTGAGGTTGGATATTAGGAAAAACTTTCTCACCAGAAGGATAGTAAAGCAATGAGACAGGCTGCCCAGAGAGGTGGTGCATTCTCCATCCTTGGATGATTTGAAGACCCAGCTAAACAAAGCCTTGGCTGGGACGATGTAGTTGGGGATGGCCCTGCTTAGAGCAGGGGGTCGGACTGGATGTGACCTCCTGAGTTCCCTTCACACCCTCATCTTCTACAATTCTGTGACATCTTAGATGTTAGTAACAGCTGCACATTCCCTGCCTTCTCTCTACTCTTTTGAAGCAGCTAAAATGTACGTTTGTCCATGCTCTCAGTTGCACAGCAATATCTGATGGGCGTTGTGCATAGTGGGACAGTGCATCAAGTTGTCCAACATGTTCATTTAATAAAGTTTAACTAATAAGCAGTTAGTACAGCATGTGCAGTGTGGGGCAGTCATGTTTATTGGTTAACACTTTCTCTAGCATAGTACTTTTTCCCAGCATGGATAAGGCAGCACTAAACAGCCTTATTTTTGCCTGAACTTTCTCTTGCTGAAGTCTGAGGAGGTTAGAAAGAGCTCAAGCATGATTCAGGCCAACGTTTGCCATTGCGATCACTGATAATAAATTATAGGTTCCATCTTTGCCTGTGTGAACAAGGCCAATTATTCACTCTTCATGCAAGGCTCTTAAGTGACAAAGATCGGGATGTGAAAGGCACAAAGTATGATACAGGTACAGCTGCTTCATAGGTCTGATTAGTGACTCTTGGGTCAAGTCTCTGTCACTAGGGCCCTAGCTTTGAACCTGGGAGGACCTGCTTCATCTCCTGCTCCGCCATAGACCCATTGTGATCTAAGGCAAATCTCGTATCCTGTTGGCCTCAGTTAGAAACTATAAAATGGGGAAAACAGCATTGCCCTTCTTCCCAGGCATATTGTGAAGTTAAAATCATGAAGCTTATGAGGTGCTCAGTGATGGGAGTCAGACTCGGGTGTAATCATATCCCGCACGGTATATACCAGGCCATAAAATACCAAATCTGTGATATTTTTTGAAAGACTTGTGAGTATCTCTGTTGTACCAGGGGCTCTTCAACAATATGACACGAGCGCTCTGTCTCCTCTGGCAAATTGTTCCGCATCCACTTTGCTTGCTGAAGTCCACAGAATTTTAGATCATAAAATTTGCACCCAGCTGACAGTAGGATATTAAAATCCGACACCAAATCTAATGGCTCTGCGTAGTAAAAGGAATGTGCTGTTTATTTTTCAGGACTCACAATTACTGACTTCCCTTCCTATTAGCTCCCTGCCCCACACTTGCACACACATGTGCACACTCGCTCTCTCTTCCATCAAGGTTTAAATCGGGCAGTGCATTCAAAAGGTCTGACAACCTTCTAGTTTTCTGCTATTTCTGTGCATAAAACCATAGGGAAGGGATATACTCCTTACCAATTTTGCTAGCCTTGCGCCATTGCAATTGAAGCACTTGGACTGAAAACCTCTGGTGGCATTAGGGTGCCCAGCGCAGCCTTCGACAAAGCCCGCACGTAACTTTCCTTTCCTTTCGTGTCCCCTTATGACAAGGTATTCAGCAGAATTCACAGATTTGTTGAATTTGACAGGGCCGCCACGAGCGCTTCTGCTGTGGCCTCAATCTTGCCGCTTCTGGGCTGTCAACCATATGCCTTCGCACCTGCGCCACTGCAGCCCTTTGTACGTAACTGGGAACATGTGAGTAATCCCACTGATTTAACTGGGAACATATGAGTAATCCCACTGACTTTAATACTAGTCAGTTTGTCCCTAAATCCTAAAAAAGTTCCATAAGGAAAAAGCTGCTTTCTCTCTAATGCCTTCAGTCAGGTTGGAGTGTTAACTAGCTCTGATGGTCCAGGCAAAATGCGAGAGATGAAGGTGGGAGGTCGGTAGTATCTTTTATTGCACCAGCTGTAGTGTTGTGAGAGATGTCAGGCAAGCTTTTGGGTACAGAGTGCCCTTCCTCCGGTGTGAGAAAGAAGCAGATACAACCTGAGCTAAAGTACTGAGTAGAAGGATGACTTTTGTTTAAACTCTTCAGGGCAGCTGTAGCACTGCAGTAATTATTCCTAGTCATTACTCTAGACCAGGTTGTTCCTTTTCTTTTTTTTTTCCTGAGGATGTAAAGGAAAGCACTTCAGCTGCTTAAAACTGTGTCACACGTCTTTCTCAAAGTGATTGTTAGTTCAGGGCACATGTGCTCGTTAAATTAGAAAAGTAAATTAAAAAACAGCTCCTCTGTTAATTCGTGAAACACAGACCCATTTTGATTTATTTCTTCATATGGATTGCAGCAACCGAATGACAGAACAACCTATAAACAATCTATAGACAACCTATAAGCAATGGCGCTAAAGGATGAGGTTAGAGTGACTGTTTTAGATCTGATATCCATGGCAAAGCATCATCAGTAGCCTGGTGCAGGTCTTTGATGCAGCCATTCAAATGATAAATGGGACGTTCCTCCGTAATGTGTGCTGTAGTTTGCGTTTCACCACACTCACACTTGGGCTCTTCCATAAAATTCAATTTATGTAGCAGGTAGTTACATGTACCTTGTGCAGTACCAATGCTGTTCATCGTTGTCCGGCTCTGCCTTGGTGAAGCAAAGCGAGGGGGTTTAGATGTGGGGTCCATGATGAGAAACGCATTAATGATGTCAGTTGTGT